TTTGTACTGGGTATTGAACTAAGGGGTGCCTTACTGAAGAGCTACATTCCCAGCCTTTTTTATTTTATTTTTAAAAAGCATTTTTAGTTGTAGATGAACACAATAACTTTGTTTATTTTTTAATGTTGTGCTAAGTATTGAAACCAGTACCTCACACATGCTAGGCAAGTGCTCCACCACTGAGCCACAACCCAAGACCCCTTTTTATTTATTTTTGCTTGAGAGAGGGTTACTGAGGGTCTTATCAAATTGCCGAGGCTGGCTACAATCTTGAGATCCTCCTGCCTCAGTCTCCTGAGTTGCTGAAATTTCAGATATGTGCTACCCTTGCCTGGTTCATTAGTATTTTTTTTTTTTTTGTCTCCTGTACTTTTTCATAGTCCTTAAATATATAATTTAGTATTTTCCCATGCCTTAAGATAGCTAAATATTTCCATTTTGAAAAGCTAAAAATCTCATTCTTTTCTTTAATAGAGTAAATGCCTAGAGATGTGTTCGAATTTTAGAATCACTTTAGTGAATGTTCTTTGTGTGTGTGTGTGTGTGTGTGTGTGTGAATGTTCTTCATTAACTTTGAAACAGATGACTAGTGAGGATTGCAGGATGTCTAAATGTAATCCAAAAGAGAAAGTAAATAAGCACTGGGAAATCCATACTGTCCTTCCCCTCTGCATTGGTGCCAGGGATTGAACCTAAGAACGTTTAATCACTGAGCCACATCCCCAGCAGTTTTTAATATTTTTATTTAGGGACAGGGTCTTGCTGACTTGTTTAGGGCCTTGCTAAGTTGCTGAGGCTAGCTTTGCATTCACAATCCTCCTGCCTTAGCCTCCTGAAGTCTCTGGGATTACAAGTATGTGCCACCAAGCTCCGCCTATACTGTCCTTATAAACAAGCATTCTCCCTTCTGTCTTTGTAAGCACATCTAGATGAACAAAGGGTTTTACAGATGGATGTGTATGTTTCATTGGCTCGTGGGAATGCCACACTTAGATCAGCCTCAAGGAAAGACACACATGTTTTGAGTCTATAAAGTGAATAAGCAGTATTAAGACTAAAATCTTTTTCCACTGATAGCCTCACTCTCTATCATATCAGACACTACATTTTCCATGCATCCTTCTATAGATCCTTCATGAAGAATCTGGCCTTCACCCTCAGACAGATCTGAAATTGAATACCAGTTTCACTACTTATGAGCTGAGTCCGCTTTCCCACCATTAGCCATTTAAAAGTGAGTTGATGAATCTATTCTCAAAGCTGCTACAAGGACTGCATGCCTGCCACTGTCTTGAGGCTTAATAATTTTTTTGTTATTATTGTGTTCATGGCTTAGGTGAAAGGTTTAATATAGAAACTTCCAACTATGCACAAAAGTAGAGAGAATATCTTATTGGATTTCAAAGCACCCCAACTTTAATGACAATCATCCACTCCTGTTTTGTCTCTTCTGCCACCCACTCCCAGGTTCCCCAGATCATTTGGAAAAAAAAAACATAGATATTAGGCATTTCATCTATGAATATTACAATATGTACCTCTAAAGGATAAGGACTCTTAAAAAATAATCATGACATCATTATCAACACTTATAAATCCCTGAATATCATCAAACATCCAGTTAAGAATTCAAATTTCTCTAATAGCCACAGAGGGTTTTAAAAAAACTTTTGTTAAATCAGAATTCAAATAAGGTCCATACCCTTTGATATATTTTTTGGAAGAATAATTAAGGTGTGGGAAGAGATTTTTCTGTAAGGATGTTTATTGCAGAATAGAGAAAAATAAAAAGAATCACAAGGAGCAGGGTATGGGTTCCACAAAAGAACACATTCACCTAAAAAGGAATCCTATGTGGCAATTTTAAATAACTCTAGAAAGACCATAAGATGAACAGAGAAGGTATTGGCAAATGCAAAAAGCAGTTTTCACAACAATATTTATTCTTTCCTTCCATTTTTAATACACTATACATTGTATTACATGCATATTTCTGAATGATGAGAGAATGAGTGATTTTAATTCCCTCAGTTTTTACAATGAAAAGTTCTCCTCTTTTTACAATGACCATGACCTGTGTAAGAAAAAGACATTATTAAACCAGGCACAACATGGTGGCACATATCTGTAATCCCAGCAGCTTAGGAAGCTGAGGCAGGAGGATCGCAAATTCAAAGCCAGACTAGTAAGGCCATAAGCAACTCAGCAAGACCCTGTCTCTAAATAAAAACATTAAAAAGGGCTAGGGGGGCTGGGGATGTGGCTCAAGCGGTAGCATGCTCGCCTGGCATGCGTGCGTCCCGGGTTCAATCCTCAGCACCACGTGCAAACAAAGATGTTGTGTCCTCCGAAAACTAAAAAATAAATATTAAAAAAATTCTCTCTCTTTAAAAAAAAAATCCCTCCATGACTCTGACCTCATTCCTTCTATAAAGTTAATACATCTTATTTAAAAAAAAAAAGGGGGGGGGCTAGGGGTATGGCTCAGTGGTTAAGCAACAACCCTGGGTTCAATCCCTTGTTTTAAAAAAAAAGTTATTAAAAATGCAGCCAAAGTGTGTCTTTGTTTGGTTTCCTATGGAGCTAGTTATACTTGGCACACTGAGCCCTGTTCTTACCTGGTGTTTTCTCTCCTCCTCTGTACAGAAATCCTCTGAGGCAAGGAGAGGCACAGCCCCAAGAGCTGCACCCTCACCTGACTTGACTGTCTGTGCCAGAGCATAGCTTCACAAAGGGGCATTCAGACAGCTGCCATTCATCCCTGGGACACATGATCTCATGCCGTCTCCAAGCGCCATCCTGGGAACACAGAAGACCTAGGAAGACAAGTACTGGGACTTGTCTTCCATTCATAGAAGGAAAAACCAAGTCACCAAGAACCTGCCTTTTTCTTGCGGTCCCTCAGGTTGAACCCAGGGACAGGTTTTTAGGACAGATGGTTGGTGCTGTTCGTAACCAGGAGGTGACATTTTGCATCTCGTCTGAGTTTCGACATCAGCGTAGGTGTGTGAGGGGCAGGACCTTGTCATGTTTGGCCAAGGGAGTGCTGAATCCTGCTTCAGTGTAACACACTGCACCGCATTCCACGGTCAGGATCTGACTGGACTCGCCAGGTTCTCACACCCACTGAAGGCTGCATGGGCCTCTGCTTGTCTTCACATTCTTGTGAACTTTTCACTCTCTGCACTGTCACTTGCTCTGACCATTATCACCAATGCAGTCTCCAAGCCCCTTCTCATGAGTGTCCCTTATGCTCAGTTCATGTCTTCTTTTCACTGAGGCCTTCCCCCCTGAGCCCACATGACATTTTTGTCCCCATGCCATACCTTCCCTCCACCCTCCTCCTCTTGCTTCTCCCCTCTAGTTGTGCTCTGCTTGTGTCTGGCCACTCTTCTTGCTCTGAATCCTTATCTGTACCTGGAGCATAGTCATCCCTGAATGTCCCCGGGGAATTGGTTCTAGGACCTCCATGGATACCCAAATCCACCCATGCTCCAATCCTTTATATAAAACAGTGTAGTATGTGCCTATAACCTGTGCACATCCCACAGCTTTCGTTTGCTTTAAACCATCTCTTGATGATTTATAATACCTAATACAATGTAACCCATTGTATTAGGTAATGCTATGTAAATAGTTGTTACACTATGTTATTTAATGACAAGAAAAAGTCTATACGTGATCAGTACAAATACACTTCGAAAATATTTTCGGTCCTTGATCAAATCTGCAGACAGGGAACCCCACTGATGCCGGCTGTTTGCTTCTTGTCCTCTGATTGCATCATCTAACTGTCCATCCTTCTCCTTTAGGAGACTGTGGGCTACTCACTGACAGACACCGCCAATAACGACGGGAAAGATAACTCTGACAGGCAACTGGCACTTCCTAGGTGCCAAGCCCAGAGCTAAGTGATTTACATAATGATATCAGCCCATGATGACAAAAAAACCTGTATAATTATCCCACTTGACAGATGAAGAAACTGAATCTTCAAGAGAGGCTGAGTCACTCACTGGTCCAAGGTCACCCAGCTGGAAAGCAATAGAGCAGAAATTGTCCCCATTTCTGCCTGACTATGAAGACTGCACTTTTCATCACTGCACAAACTCTTTGCTACTGTTTGCTGCTCAGTTCGAATGTTCTCATCTGTTCTCTTGGTTGCCACCGTGGAGCCCTGTTTCTTGGTGGTGGCAAGACTCCTGCTGATATTACTCTCTCTAGCTGAGGTTCCTGTGGCTTGCCTCCCTCAAGCTGATTAAGAAGAGAGCACTCAAAACTGCAGGTCCTCCCACCCCCACTTCGTGCCTCTGAATTCTTCACTCCTCTACAACTCTGTCCTGATCCTTTCCCTGGGGGACACTTGAGCAGCAGGAGGATTCCTGCACAATCAGGAATCTCCAGCGCTGCAAGTGTATGTTTTTTGGTAGAATTGTAAGAAAATGGAGCCATAGATCAGCGAAAGGTCCCTAGGAGAGGACCCAGACTGAAGACAGGGGTCCCTGCCACCCCCACTCATATGCCCATCTGGACTCTTCCCTTTCATAGCCTCCTTCCCCTTCCCCCAATCAGAATCCTCGCTTTGGGGCCCAAGCCCCAGGGATAAGCTCCACCCCTCTCCCAGCATCCTAAAGTTTGGGGGCTGTGTTCAAGTCAGAGATTTCCAAGTAGGGGTGTGTTGGAGGGACTTCCGAGGGCGGCTTGTCCTGGAAGAATGAGGGAAAGGTGGCAGCAGCAGCCGCTGCCTCCAAGGACATCTGTGTCGCTCCCTGGGAGACCCTCTGCCCTCTCCCCCTCCCACCAGCCCCGGCGAGCAGGGACCGAGCTTGCTTATTATCACCTGACGCTGTGCAGCCACTGATCCCATTGGTGGAGCCAGATTCGGTCTGGCTCTCTCGTTCTTTCTCGCCTTCCCTGCCTCTCTCTCCTCCACGCTGCTTTGATTTCGCTCCTGCCTCTCTTTCTGTGCTCGCTCGCTCCCTCGGCTGGGAACAGCGTCTCACCAGGGGCAGCAGGGCTTCGCTGCAGAGCCAGACAGGAGCTGCCTGCAGGGCATGGAAGCAACCTCCTCGGCAGCCGGGAGAGGATCGCGCGCACTTGGCTGCCCGTGACCCAGGAGTCCGGCCGCCGGTCCCCTGCCTGGGGAGCTCGTCCACAGAGATCTCTCCCTTCCCTCTCTGCCAGGTCTCGCTCCGCAGAGCCCCGTGAGGCCAGGTGAGTGCCCTTCCTCCCAGACCATCTTGCCGTCTATCTGAAAGGCTGGGAGCTGGCAGCTCCAGGGTCCTGCCACTGTTCGGGATGCCCACCTGGATTGCTGGGCCAACGACCTTGTCCCCTTTCCCCCAGGCTTTTGGCAAAGGACTTAACAGCTGGATCCAGTCTCCGGGGCGACACAGTTAGTTACCCCGTGACCATTCTGCTGCAGTCAGCGATGCCAACAGGGACAGCGGGGTGGGGGAGCTTTCCTTCTGGCATGCTGGTGGCTTCTTTGAATGGGCATGGGGAAGGGGCACCAGTGTGTGCCAACATGTGTGCGCACTTGGGAGGAGGATGGAGGTTTGCTTGCGTAGATAGGTCTGCGCGTAGTTTGCTCGCGTGGGGGTTTCCACCAGCTTGTGGCATGTCTAGGAACCCAGCTTTCTTGCACGGGTGAGGTACATGTGTGTGGGGGCTTATCTGAGTATCCTGTGAGTATATGTGGGTGAGGGCCCTGGGAGGCAGTGTATTTCGGGGGTGGACATGTCACTTGTCATGTGGGTGGAAGTACATGGGGTGGGGGGGGCGTATGCAACCAGGCGGTTTCTATGTGGGGAAGTGCAACTCCAAAGCAGAATGAGGTGGGTAGGTGGGAAGTGTGGGCAGAAACTGGTCTGTGGGAAGACCTGCGTAGGTGCACAAACCTGTTGGCGTGTGAGGGATCAGACTGGCAAAGTGTGATCAGAGGCAAAATATGCTTTCAAAGTCTGTGTCTATGAGATTCCAGAAGGATACCAGAATGGGGGGGGGATTGGACATGGGTGCAAATGTACATGCGTACAGGCATGCAGGCAGGCATGTGGATTGCATGCCTTCTTGGGGAGGTGGCACACATGCATGTTGGTGCCGGCAGCTTCCTCTCTTCCCCAAATATGGCTGTGAAGAGGGGTGCATGCTTGTGGGGGTGCAGGAGCCTGTGGACAAATCCTGTGTGGGACTGCAGGAAGGTGACAGTTTTCGGAGGGGCATCTTAGGGAGTGCAAGGTGGCGCAAGGTGCCTCAGTATATAGGTGAGCCTGTGGGAATGAGGAGGACTGAAGAGGTGTGTTCAGGGGTGGGTGGGCACCCTTGGCACATGTGTGCGTGCGTGCATGAGCGCCGCCTGTGTGTGGGTGTGTACATGCTGGCCTCAGGGTGGATTCACATGGGAGAGTGGGTGTTTCTAGGGTGTTGCCACGACCTGTCGCTCACACCCTGCCTTTCCCCAAGCAGCTGGGCATAGAGAAGCTGGGTTCACGCCCACCTTGGGCCACCCTAGCTGTGTGTTCTCCCAGTGTCAGTCACTGCCTCTCTTGCAGGTCAGGGCGGGGGAGTCATCCCAGCTTTCCCAAAACTGGAGAGAGCAAGGGATGAGCAGCTGCCAGGTCCTGGGCCCCGAGCCCCCACGGCTGCCCCTACCTCTAGGAAGAGTCTGAGGGGAGGAGAGATCAAGCAGGAGCAGGGGCCCACTCATGGAGCAGGTGCAGGCTGCTTCCCTTGCCAGGGGGAGCCACTCAGGGCTTCTCAGGTGGGAGTGTGTCTGTGCTCCTGTGCGTGGGTGCCTGTGTGTGTGCATGTGAGAGGCACACACGTGTCTCCTTGGGAGCTTCCAGCTTGGATGTGGGGAGCTGGTAACTCCCCTCTGCACCACACCTGTCCCCACAACTGCAAACAGGTTTATTATTGTGGGGTTGTTTCCAGACACCCGATCCCATCTGTCCTATTTTGGGGTGAACCTGGCATCACTTCCATGCGTATTTACCATATAATTCCCTTTATGTGAAGCCATTGGCATTTGCCTCTAAGGTGGGAGACTAAGATGAAGCAGGACAAGGGACACCTGGGGCAGGTAAGGGCCATCAACCCCAGCCTCCTTCTATACCTGTCACCCAGGCAGCCCACAGGTTAATTTAGAGGTGCCAGGCTCTGGAACAGGCTTAATTGATGGGAAAGTGTGGGCTGGATCTTCTGTAGGCTATAAATAAAAGTACCTGAATTTTGCAGGCACAAGGTGCCTTCACCCTAGCTCCTAGGCAAGGGGAGGAGAAGAAGAGGGAAGAGAGGAGAGGAGGAGGTGGCATGAGGGTGTGCTGGATGCTGGGCTGGAAAGTGTGAGGCTGGATGCTCTGGAGAAAGTCCACCCACATCTGCATCCTCTCCTCCCCACCTGTTTCTGGGATTCCAGGTGAGTCAGGCCATAGACAAAGCCAGTCAGCTCTTCTCAGTTAAAGCACAGGTGAGAGACCCTGGTATAGTCCTTTCATGCCCGAAGGGCGCCAGATGTCAGGGTAGAACTGGAGGAGTAAAAGAGGGAGGTGAGAGAAAATGCAATGCTTGGAAAAAAAGTCAACAAGAGGAAAAACAAAGAGCAAAAACATTTGTGCCCTGTGCATGGCCATATGTCATACACATGCCATGTGTCACACACATGTGATGTATGTGTGCATACACACACACACGGATGCAACTCTAGCTCAACCTTAATGATAAAGGGTTTGGCCTCCAGAGTGCAAATCATCTGCTGGCTGTGTGGCCTGGGATGCTAGCACCCCAACCTTAGTTACCTTGTCTGTAAAATGGGGATAATCACAGCACGTACCTATTGCAAGGCTCACATGAGATGACATTTGTGAAATGTAGTACGTGTGTCGGCCCCCAATAGACATCAGTGTTGAAACATAATTAATTATTCAAGGAGTCAAGTGAGGATCAGCCAAAAGAGAGTGTCAAAAAAGTCATGGGTGGAAAGAAGAGCTTGAAGCAGGCAGTGATCCATGCTGCCCCTTCCACCCTGGGTGGATTCACACGCACCTGAGTGTCCTCTCAGGCCTGCACTGTGGGGGCCCTCACTGAGTTGTCCCCAGGGAGGAGAGAGGCCTGAGCCGCAGGGTCTTGGCCTCTGAGGATTCCTGGCTGCCGGGCCTGCTACCAGCCTCTGTCCTCTCCTCTCTGTCCCCTCAGCAGGTGCTTCCTGCCTCTCCTCCGCTGCTGCCTCTTTCCCATTCTCTCCACCCCCACCCTTTCTCTTTTCACGCCTGCTGGCTTGGGGCCCCCTCCCTCCTCGGCTCCATCTGCTATAAATCTGTCCCTGCCCAGCGTTGTAGATTCCCACTGCCTCTGCCACCTGTCAGGTACCTTCTGCTCCACAGACCCTCAGAGGAGAGCAAAGAGCCCCCCAGAGACATCCAGCCCACCTGAGTCCCTGCCCTCCAGGCCTCCCATGCAATCTTTCCTGTCAGATCTAGGGGGCAGGGGCATTCGATGTATTCTCAGGCTCCACTTCCCAAGGGATGTTGGGAGCAGCGCAGCATTCCAGAAAGCTCCGTGGTGGGAAGGAGGTGCTGATCCTTCCCCTCGCTCTCAGTCCCCACAGGAGCCAAACCAGAGGGCAGCATGGAGCTGCTGTCCACTCCCCACAGCATTGAGATCAACAACATCACCTGCGACTCCTTCCGCATCTCCTGGGCCATGGAGGACAGTGACCTGGAGAGGGTCACCCATTACTTCATTGACCTCAACAAGAAGGAGAACAAGAACTCCAACAAGTTCAAGCACAGGGTGAGTCGAGGGTGCCCAGGGGTGCTTTTCCCCACCTCTGTTCCTGAAGGAGGCAGGATAATAGATAGCATCGAGAAAGGGGTCGGAGTCCAACCGAAATCCAAAGTCTTACTGGGTCATCTTGGGAAAGTGATTTGACCTCTCTGAGCCCGAGTTCCTCTCCTGGTGAAGAGGGAATCATCACACCCCGCCTCCCAGGGTTGTCGAGAGGATTCCATGAGTAATGTCTACGTGGTGGTGTTTGGCACGATGCCTGGCACAGCGTGAATGCTGTTATCAGCGTCATGACTGGGACTTCAGACGGGCAGAGCACCCTGGGCTGGTGGGATGGGGCCGAGAACATCACATGTGGGGATGACATCTCAGGTTCCAACAAACCCTGGGCTCAGGTGCGGCCCTGCTGTTGACTAGGTGAGCGGTGGGACCCTCAGTAAGTCCCCTTTTGCTGGGTCCTTGATGTTCCCTTAGGCCCCTGTCATTTTCTCTGTCCCTCACCTGCCCGCTGCCCAGCTGTTTACTTGGTCTAGTAAAGGACTGGGAGAGGGTCCTGGAGGGTGTGTCCTTCGCTTGGGTTAAAAGCCCGTATGGGGCAGGTGGGAGGAAGCCTCGAGTCTCCTCCAGCTGGCAGAGGGGCAGGGGAGAGTGAGGTGGGAAGAAGCTGGCTCTCAGGACGACAGCAGCAGTGTGGGCTACTCACCCTCGC